AGCGGCTCACCTAGTCTGCCTACCTCTCACCTCTCATTCCAGTCCATCACTTTTTTTTAAATGTCAGGTGCAAAGAGGTGAATTAATACCTCTGTTTCTGGCACAATATCATCATTGATCTGTGCAAGGTCTCTCTCGTGTTTTATGTATTTTTATTCTTTATCATTCCTGATCCGTAATCTCATTCCTTCTCCACTTTATATAGGCTTCCATACAAATGTCTTTGATGTGCATTCTTGAATCTGTATGTGTCCTTGTAAAATATGTAGTATTATTTTCTTAAAAAAATATAAATGATATTGTGTGCTATAGATATCGTTTCACCCAACAATATGCTATAAGGATCTGTATTGCTATATGTACATCTGGTGCTATGGACTGAATTGTGTCCTCCCAAATTCATATGTTGAAGCCCTAAGCCCCCCAGTGTGATGATATTTGGAGATGGGGCCTTAGGAGGTAATTAGATATATATTGAGGTCAAGGGTGGGGCCCCCACGATGAGATTAGTGCCCTTATAAGAAGAGACACTAGAGAGCTTGCTTTCTTTCTCACTGCCATGTGAAGACAGAGTAAGAAGTCGGCAGTCTGCAAGCCAAGAAGAGAACCCTCACTGGACCAATTGGCCAGTGCCTTTATTTTGGACTTCTCAGCCCCCAGAACTATGAGAAATAAATTTCTGTTGTTTGAGTCACCTAGTCTATGGTATTTTGTTATGGCAACCCAAGCTAATACATCTGGTTTATTGCTTCTAAGCAGTGAGGTGAAGTTAATATCCACCATAGTGTACTTATCCATTAAACCATATTTTCTTATTCATTCTGTCAACATAGATATCAAGGTTGCCCCCAACTTCCCCCAAATACCGTGACAGTCGCATACATATCCATTTATTGGCTACCGTGAGAATTTCTCTGAGATATGTATCCAGGAGTGAGATTCTTGAATCATAGGGAATACACATCCCTCATTTTGTCGAGTAGTACCACATTGCTTCCCAGAATAACAGTTAACTCTCCCATCAGCAAAGCATTAGGGTTCCTGTTTCCCCACATCCTCTTCTACACTTGATATTATCTAGCTTTCTAATTCTTGCCATTCTGATGGCCATAAAATGATTTTCAGTCCGTCTAGAACATTGTCACCGCAGACAGCCTTTCATTATGTTTCATCCTTGCTCAAGGAGAGTTTCAGGTGTATATCTGGTATTTAAATGTGAGGCCTTCCATAATATAGACCTCCTTACATACTCTACCCTATTTCACCCTTCTTCCAAACCTGAACTTGTCCTTTTTATTAGACTCGCCCTGCTTTTGCCCCTCACTCTAGGTGCTGTCAGCTCAGCTCCAGTGCATCATCCTAACCCTGCGCGGAACACCCTTGCCTCTCCTCTCCTGTCTAATTCATCCCATTCCTCCAGGCCCAAGACAGTACCCAATTACCTGCAGGACCTTAACACTACTACTCCAGCCTGTCAGCATATGGCTCTGGGTGGATAAACTTACCAGAGCTTAGGGTTACATGAACTTAGGTTCAGATGCAGGCTCCACTAGTTACCATGTAACTGTGGGTGTGCTAGTCTGCCTCTCTCTAGCTTAGTTTCCTCATTGGTAAAATAGCGGTAGTAACATCCATCAAGTAGTTTTGTGATGGTGAAATTAGATAATGTATATAAAGCCCTTAGTAAAGGGTCCAGCTCATAGTAAGTGGTCAAAAATGGTAGCTGTACTGTTTTCTAGTTGTTTTATATTTCTAAATCTTGCCCCATCAGCAAGATTATTGGTTTCTTTTTCAGGGCAGGTGCTGAGTCTTATGCTTATTTTAACTAGTATATCTGGCACAAAGCTAGGAATACAGTAAATGCTTAAGAAACATTTATTAGTTTGACCTGAGGTGAGTTTGTGATTACCCGAAATTACTTCCTTTAAAAGAGGGAACATTAATTTTTATAAAATTCTGTGTTACTCCATCATTCATTTTAGCCAGCCTAACCTGTGCTTTGCTGTGGTGATTTAGGACTGACTTGTGGTAACCTGAGTGTATGTGTGTGTCAGTGGAGAGTAGCGGGCTGGTAGAGGTGATGGCAGTGGATTCTCTGAGGGACAGAGCCAGGCTGCCGTGTGCCATCCTAACCACTGCCTCTAGCTTTCCTCACTGTTGTGGCCCTGGCTTCCCTGGGCGGGGCTGCTCAGGCCTTTCCTTGTTCTTCCAGGCTGCCTTCACTACAAGAGGAAATGAAGTCTTTTTTTTTTTTTTTTAACATTAAATATTATATTTTTTATTTTTATTGAGGTATAATTGACATATAACATATTAGTTGCAGGTGTACAATGTAATGATTCAATATTTGTATATATTGCAAAATGATCGCCACAGTAAGTCTAGTTAACGTCCGTCACCATACAGTTACAAATTTTTTTCGTGATAAGAACTTTTAAAATTTACTTTCTTAGCAACTTTAATATACAGTGCACTATTGTTAACTGTAGTCGCCATGCTGTACATTACATCCCCATGACTTATGTATTTTATAACTGGAAGTTTATATTTTTTGACCCCCTTCACCCATTTTGCTCACCTCCTACCCTCCACCTCTGGAAACCACCGGTCTGTTCTCTGTATCTATGAGCTTGTTTTTTTCTAAAAAAGATTCCACATATAAGTGAGATCATGTGATATTTGTCTTTCTCTGTCTGACTTATTTTGCTTAGCATAATGCCCTCAAGATCCATCCATGTTGTCGCAAATGGCAAGATTTCATTCTTTTTTTATGGCTGAGTAATATTCCATTGTATATATATACTGCATCTTTTTATCCATTCATCTATTGATGGAAACTTGGGTTACTTCCATATTTTGGCTATTTTAAATAATGCTGCAGTGAACATAGGGGTACATATATCTTTTCGAGTTGGTGTTTTCATTTTCTTCCAATAAATACCCAAAAGTGGAATTGCTGGGTCATATGGTAGTTCTATTTTTAATCTTTTGAAGTACCTCCATACTGTTTTCCATAGTGGCTGTACCAATTTACATTCCCACCAACAGTACACAAGGGTCCTCTTGCTCCACATCCTCACCAATGCTTGTTATTTCTTGTCTTTTTGATCATAGCCATTCTAACAGGTGTGAAGTGATATCTCATTGTGGTTTTGATTTGCATTTCCCTGATTATTAGTGATGTTGAGCATCTTTTCATGTACCTGTTGGCCATTTGTATGTCTTCTTTGGAAAAATGTCTATTCAGATCATCTGCCCATTTTTTTCTTTTTTTGTGAGGAAGATTAGCCCTGAGCTAACATCTGTTGCCAATCCCCTTCTTTACGCTGAGGAAGATTGGCCCTGGGCTAACGTCCGTGCCCATCTTCCTCTACTTTATATGGGACGCTGCCACAGCGTGGCTTGATAAGCGATGTGTCGATCCGCTCCCAGGATCTCAACCTGCGAACCCCGGGCTGCCGAAGCGGAGCGCACCATCTTAACTGCTACGCCATCAGGCCGGCCCCCACCTGCCCATTTTTAAATCAGATTGTTTGTTTCTTTGCTATTAAGGTATATGAGTTCTTTTTATGTTTTGGGTATTAGCTCCTTATCAGACGTATGACTTGCAAATATTTTCTCCCATTCAGTAGGTTGCCTTGAAATGAAGCCTTTTCGAACCTCTTCTCAGACTTCCCTGCCAGCGTATCATGTTTGTGACAGGCTATTGCCTTGGCTATATATAATCCTGGCAAAGTGTTCAAGTTCAAGCAGCAACTTCACGATAATGGTTACCTCTGGAGAGGGAGGCAAGGGCATGAACTCTGAGAGAGGGCTTCAATTGTGTCTGAAGTGTTTTATTTTTTATTCAGGGCTGTGGGGCACATGGATATTCATTATATGATATATGATATTTATTGTATCATATATCATCATATTATCATGAATATTATATTATCTTGAATTTGCTGCTTATAATTTCCATGCTTATATTATCCTTAAATAACATTGTATTTTTGAATATTTTCAGGCTTTATATATATGTGGAATTATCAAATTTTATGTGCCTTTCTACTACCTATTTTTTTTTGGTTGACATTTTTTGAGACTTGTCCATATTGATACATATAATTTTCAACCTCTATTAATATTCCATTTTATAAAGAAAACACAATTGAGATATCTTTTCTGCTATTGATGGACTTTCAGATTGTTTCCTACTTTTCAGTCTTATAAACAGTGTTGTAACAAATAATCTGATATATAGCTCCTCGCGTACAAGGACAAAAGATATTTAGGAGTGGACTTGCTAGGTCATAGGGCATAGACATCTTTCACTTTGCTAGGTATTGCCTAATCTCTCCTCAGAGGGATTTTTCTGCTTTACTTTCCTACTAGCAGTGCATATAAGTTAATGTTGGCCCACATCTTTGCCAACCCTTGGTAGCCTTATCTGGGCTTTTCCCTCTCTGCCCAGATCCCCAGAAAAGATGGGGAAGGAGTGAGGAAGAGGGAGGTCAAGGTTCTACAATTAGGAGGAGAATGTCAGCTCTGAGGAATTTCCTATTAGATTTATTTTAATGAGGCAAAGATTTTATTCTTTGTTTTGGCGAAAATAATGTTTGGACTTCTGTGGGAAAACTGTTACATTTTTACTCTGAAGTAGAGGAGTTTTTTTTTTTTTTTCCTGTTTGCATTCTTGGCAAATAAGTAGAATAGACCAATTAGCAAGCTAATGTTCTAAATGTTCACTTGCAGTAATAGTTATTTTTAAATGTTTTAAATAGCATGGAGCACTGGGTTTATTCTTATTAAGCTTTCAAAGTTTTGAATTTGTTAAAATGAGTTGAATTTAAAATGTGACACAACTTTATGGGTAAAGATCTTAATTATTTGCCACTCTAATATGCATTTTGTAATGGGAAAAATAAATGATGAGAAATGTGTTTACCTTTTAAAACAAAGAAGAAAAGTCATCAAGAGTTACTTTGGCCATTTTATGTTGCCTCTTGTGTTCACAGGTGAGAAAGGAGAGGTTCCACAAATCTCAACACTGGGGCTTTTGCAACAATGTTAGGATGCTGGTGAATGAAGATAAGCCCGGAATAGGTGGAGAACTGCTTCTCGGGCAAAAGATGAAGCCTAAATACAGTGTATTTCCTAAAGGAATGGGAACTGACGCACCTTCCTGGGTGGCTTTTGATAAACAGGTAAGTCACATGACGTTGGGAGACATGCAGTCTTAAAATGTTACATGCACTTAAATATTAAGTAGATTTGAGAAAATAAGTATGTAATGTAATGTAAATGTAATGTAATGTCAATGTAAATGTTAAGGCTAGTTGTCCTGAAAAGACACATTGAAGAACAAAAGTACCCTAAACAAAGAAAAGTTATCCTTGCTTCTGTTTCTGACCAGGCACATTGGTTGTAGGATGCCAGATGTTCACCTTTCTTGGCTAATGCTTATCAACCTTTCTGTCATTACCTCCCCTGGACAGGATAATCTATCCTGGTGTAGACACTAAGAGTTTGGTCACACTGTCACTTTTGCTTAGTGAGTTACCATTAACCAAATAGTTTTGTTTGATTCTGAATGTGCCATTAAATAGCAACAGGAAGATGCCTTTACTTCTTTTCTCCATACTAATTATGGTTCCCCATTCCCATGGCAAGAAATTGTAGAAGTGAAGGAAAGAGGTGCCATTATTAGACAAGAGTCTGAACTTTTTAATGTCTATGTTTGTACACATAACACATGTATACTGGCATATTGACAGTTGAAAAAGGTAATCCATTTGAATATATTAAAAAAAGACTAAGATCAAAGGGAAAAAACCCGAAAGTGACCAGTTATTTCCCATAAGGCAGCTATATGGATAGGCTGTGTTTATCAGACAACCCTGTATCACAGCCCCCTGTTGTGTTCTCCAAAAAAGAACCCGTTATTAGATTATTTAGGTCCTGTAATTAAAAAAATAATTCAGGACTAGATAAAGAATTCACACCTTAGTATGCTAAGTTTACCAGGTGGTTTATAGCAGCTTTAACATGGATTGGTTGACAATACTTTGATTCCAATTAAAATGTCTTAAAATTTGGTAGAAGCTGCATATCCCAGGTCATCAGTGTTAAGGTTGATCAGTTAGAGCATGTATTTTTTTGAAGCCCAGTTCTGACACTTATGGAGAGCTATCTGACTGCAGGGAAGCTTCTTTCTCGGCAAACCATCTCTACTTTGAACATGGACCAATATTTCTCTTTTTTGATTATTTTCAGTACCTGGCTCAGTGCTGGACCCAGAGTTCAGAAACAATTTCTGGGCTGACTTGGGTGGATCATGCATGGTTTCCTGTTAATATCAATCTTATAGGTATTTGCACATAATCATTCTAGAATATTTAATTTGCAAGGGTCAAAGAAAATATTCTATTTTTACTTCTTGTGACAGAAAGAGCGTATTGATAATAGTTTAAACTAATCTACTACTGAATAAGTAATGTTGTAGCCCACAATATATTAAACTATTCTCTTGCATTTAAAGTTGAAAATTCATTTTATTTCATGTTTTTCTCAGCATTTAATATGTGCCTTTCAAGCCTATTTTGTAGCCCTTTAATTACTTATAAAATTATGTAGAATATTTCATGAAGTTGGAATAATTTTAGCTTCAAACTACTTGAGAAAATGAAGAGCTTGCTCATTTCAGGCTTAACTAAATGCAACATAATTCTTTCAGTTATTTTGTTGGTCAACTTCAATTAAATATTCATTGAGCTTTAAATGAGACACTAAGACTATCAAATATTTACGTGCTCTGATGAGATTGTGAACTACGGACTGGATCCTGGTTAATACCCAGAGCAAATTATAAAGGGCTGTCTGCGTTCGCGGTTCAACAAAACAAGTCAACACCTGTTAATCATTTTTCTTAAAAATGAGACATTTTCAACTCGTTGCCAGTTTTTCCAATAGCTTTTAATCATAGCAATATATTTAGGGTTACATTCTCCAACAATACAAAATAGAAATAAAGGCCGTTCTTTGGGAAGTGTATGAAAATTCATATTTGTAGTAGATGCTCTTGGTGCCCACCTCGATCCACGTTAGGGGTGGGGGCACCCCTTCCTCCCAGCTGCAGCAAGTGCTTGAGCAAACAGCTCACACCTGTAGCCCTCTGTGGAGTGGTGCTCTTGGCCAGTGGGCATTGCATCACCCAAAGAAGCCTGGGAGGTTACACTGGCCCCTTCACCACAAGAGGGGGCTGACTCATTTGTCAAGGGTAAAAAGCTGAGCTTCTTCAAGGTGGGACAACTCTGTATTGTGGTGATTTAGGCTCATAGCCTCTTGTGCATCAGGCCAAGGCCAAACTTGACGTGAGAATGTATCCTTGCTTGGCTCATTTCCCTTTCCTTGGCAGCTCCCCTCACTCTCTTACAGGTTTCTCCCAAGAGTGTGGTCTTAATAAATCACATGCATGTAAATCCCTGTCTCAGGCTCTGTTTGTATGGAGCCCAGCCTAAAATGACATTCCGGTTTTTATCCTTAATTCTGAAAGTGACCATCAAAATGCTGTGCTCAGGTAGACTATCAGATTACAAGCAGAGAAGATGCTATTTGCAATCACCAAAAAGAGCCAGCATTTTTTATCCTGCATCGCCCCCATGAGCCAGCCCTGGTGGTCTAGTGGTTAAGATTCCATGCTCTCACTGTCGGGGTGGGGTTCATTTTAGTGAGGGAACCACACCACTCATCTGTCGGTTGTCATACTGTGGCGGCTGCATGTTGCTGTGATGCTGAAAGCGATGCCACTGTATTTCAAATACCAGCAGGGTCACCCATGGTGGACAGGTTTCAGCGGAGCTTCCAGACTAGACAGACCAGGAAGGACCTGGCCACCCACTTCTGAAACAATTGGCCGTGAAAATCCTGTGAATAGCAGCTGAGCCTTGTCTGATATCGCGCTGGAAGGTGCGAGGATGGCGCAAAAGACCTGGCAGGGTTCTGCTCTGCTATACACAGGGTCACTAGGAGTCAGAATCACCTCCGCGGCACTAACAACAAACAGATGGCCCCCAGACATTTGTAGTTGTCTATCTTTTATTCACTGTCCCCTTCATTCCTGGGGAGAGAGCACTAATTTTATTCAGGCTGGAGTTGTGCCCACTTAAAAGTGTTCACCTCCCCAGGCTCCTTGCAGCTAGGGCCAACCACGTGAGTCACTTCTGGCCAATGATATATATGAGTTCAGGTTTATTGGGTGGGGATCCTGGGAAAGTTATTTTTCTAATTAAGAGAGTCAGGCTCAGCTGGTCTATTTTTCCTGCCCTTTGCCCTACTTCTGTTTTCCTGTCTGTAACTAGGACATAATTCCTCAGGGCACAGCAGTCACCTTGTGAATGCAGCGGACATAAAGGGAACCTAGGGCCCTGCTGGCATCATGGAACCACCATTTCAAGCCCCGGCTGCCTCTTTCTGGACTTCTTGTTATATTAGAAAAATCAGCCCCTATTTCAGAGGTTCTCAGCCCAGGGAGGCCTTTGGAAATGTGTGGAGGTGTTTTGGGTTGTCACAATGACCGGGAGCAGCACTGGACTAGGGTGAGGCAAGTGAGGCCCTTGCCTTGGGTGCATAATTTAAGGGGTGCCCCCAAACTCAGTAATCAAGCTAGGTGATAGTTTAATGAAGTACCTTTAAAAATCAAAATTAATGTAAAATTCATGATGAACAAAATACCAACATTTTAAATAAAGACAGGATGGATAACTATGGCATGCTGAGCCATATTGGAGCCTGAGGCAAAAGGAAAAATCAGTAATACTGATTCCATCTTTATTTAACATCCTGGTATTTTGATATTTTGTTCACCATGAATTTTTTGCATTAATTTTGATGTTTTAAATCGCCTTGCCCTAGGGACAGCCCTGTCCGGGAGGCACTGCTGCTTTTGAGTAGCTGGGCGCCAACCATGTATTTTACATCCTGCAGTGTGGGCAGGGCAACCCCACACTGGGGAGAATGTTCTACCTAAAATGCCAATACTGCTCCCATTGAACAACATAGTCCTACTTTCTTAAAACCCCTGGCATTGGGAGCGTTTATGCAAACAGCCAAGCATAATTTTGCCTGATACTGCCCCTACCCCCCAAAGATGAGTTATTTCACTGGATTCGTTTAAATATAAGCAAGCACGTATTCACTCACATCAGTTAGTTCCAGTTGTCATCCCAGCACCTCCAGGAGGAAGAAGCAGACACGGATGCTTGTTCTCACTCTATAAATGAGGTATCATTCCCAAGAAGTGGGGCAGGGGCTAGGGTTCTGAGGCTGCATGCTGGAGGCACTGGAACTTATCTGTGTGATTGTGGTTTAGTCACTTTACCTCTCTGAGCCTCACTTTCCTTGGCTAGCTGATCTCTAATGCCCTTTTACCTCTAGCAGTCTATGCCTAAGACTTTAGTCTTAAGTCTATGAGTAAAGGCAGGTTCAGCTTGTTCATCCTAGAACTGAGCCCAGACCCTGGATCTCCTGGCCTGGGGCTGTTTCTAATTATGCCAGGCACCTACTGCTTCATTATTAATTGGAATTTGGCATTTAGTAGTTTATGATATGCTGCCGTTGCTATTGTATGTGATCTATCATTAGCTGCTTTTATAAAAAGTCGGAGTAGTTAGAAAAACTCAAATGACTGAATGTTTTTATATGACTTTTATTGGGATGTTAAGCGCTTATTTTCATAGACTCTACAATTATGCTCTCATTTCTTTTCATTTGTCAATGGCTCCTAGTTAACTTAATTTGTTTGCTATTTCGCAAATGACTCTATTATAGTAAATGGCAGGATAAAGGTTGATCCTATGGGTATGTATACATTTAAAAATATTATTTCATTTTTTTATCTATTATAAACATAATAATTATAATCAAAACTACTGGCCACAGAATTAGAATTTTAATAACTTTGCATTCATTGACATTGGGTTTGTGGTGAGCTGATTATTTATGTAGTACTGTGTGAATCTCTGTGCTTTGAACAATATAAAAATAAATTTTTAAAATATAATTTGATCTCTTGGGTCACCTTGACTTTTTTTTTTTTAAATGAAAAAGTTGGTTTATTACTCATTGCAGTGAGGGAAGACACATACCCTAACTATGGGATGTCTAAGTAAGCGTTAGACAAGACTTACTGTAGGAATTGGGCTTGTAT